TTAAAATGCCAAAAAAAATTAGAACTATCACTTCAGATTGCAACAGAAAGAATTATATTTCAGCTTCAGGAGAGATGATAAATCAGTTTGTTAAATACTATTCTCAACTGTATGGAAAACAGATGCCAAGTTTGTAAAAGATTATAGAGTATTTGGATACAACACTAGATTATGAAATTTACAGATCACCAAAAGGAATTGCTTAACAAGCCAATTACTGAAGATGAAATGAAGGAAACAAAATTGCATAGATTCCCAGAACCAATATTTGGCACAACACTGTAAGATTTTCAAAGAAATTTCCATGGGACTATTAATTCAGATAATGAATAATATACGATGATGGCAAATAGTTCCTTCTTAGTGGCCCAATGCTTTCAAAATTTGGCTTTACAAGGAAAATAATCCTATCTATTCAGAATCTTATAAGCCTATTGTTTTATTGAATATATAGGAAACCACAGATCGTCCTCGATTTACAACCACAATTGAGTCCAACATTTTCTGTGGCTAAGTTAGACAGTTTTTACGTGAGTTTTGCCCCATTTTACAGCTTTTCTTGCCACATTTGTTAAGTGAATCACTCTTATTGCCTAATTAGTAACAATTAGTAACATTCAGATTCGTTTAACGAATCTGAATTCCCCATTTGTCAATAAGTTGCAAGAGGGGATTGAACGACCGAGAACAATTAATCAGTGGAACAAGTTGTCTGCAGAAGTTGTGGGTGCTTCAACACCGGAGGTTTCTAAGAAGAAATTGGACAATCATTTGTCTGAAAAGGCAGTGATGGGCGAACCTTTTTGTTGTGCTGTGCCAAAAGCATGCGTGTGCTGACACACCCACAATGCAATGCACCCCAACCCCCTGCGCATGTGCATGCAACACCCCCGCCCCACCCCCTTACCTGCATTGCGCATGCACGCACCTCCCTGCTGATTTCCAGCCTGTTTGAGGCTGTTTTCGCCCTCCCAGAGGCTCGAGGGAAGCCTCTACAGCCTTGGCAGGCCAAAAAACAGGCCTTCCAGAAATACCGTTAGTGCCAAAACGGGCCCGTTTTCAGCCTCCCAAGGCTCCAGAGGCTTCCTCCAAGCCTCTGGGAATCACACACATGCACAGTGCAGGTAAGTTTGGCTGGGGCTTGCGTGCCCGCACAAATGGCTCTGCGTGCCACCTGTGACACACGTGCCATAGGTTCGCCATCACGGGTATAGGGTTTCCTGCTTGAGCAGAAGGTTGGACTAGAAGACCTCTCAGGTCCCTTCCAACGCTGTCATTCCGTTTCAAAAGAACTGTAGAAATGCTATGATACAAATAGAAGTGCTCAGTATAAGAGATCACATAATTATAAATAGCTTATCAAAACTGTGGGATAAATGCAAAAGAAAAATAAGCCCAAGTTTCAACGTCTCTTGCTCAAAACATTATTTTCGTGAAAGGTAACATGGTAAAAGATTGATTGGCAGGGGTAATGATTCCTATAGACTGCAAGATTTAACACTTAATCAAACCAAGATTAAATCTTTGGAGACTCCCTGCTAGGAATGGCCCGAAACACCTCATTACTTTCAATATCTTCAAATAGGTAGTTCGAAAGGAGCTAAAAAAGTAAGATGGCAAATGGAGAGGTTTTATCATATTTTAAAACCTTATAAAACAAAACTCAGAACATCTGCTAGGGCTGCTACCTAATTGCTATTAAAATCCAACTCAAAAACCGAAGAAGAGAAGGGCTGGAGGATTAAAGGAATGCAGAATCGAAATAGGACAAATTAATGCATAAGTATTAACGCTATCAATGAAAGATAAATACTAATCCTCCACAAGGTGATGCGAAGGTCTTGCCAGTGTTGACTATCCTACAATATTATGCATATGATTAAGAATCATGGCTATCATTTATGAATAACAGCACCCATGGTTCAGCAGTCTCTAAACTTGGAGACTTTAAGACCTGCGGACTTCAACTCCCAGAATTCACGCAGTTGAAGTCCAAAAGTCCTAAATGTGTGAAGTTTGGGGACCCCTGCTCTAGCAAATTCACAGTACCTTAAGCGTGTTGTACAAATCCAGCCATCTTAGCAGATGTGTGAATCCAGGATAAATAAATTCAACAGTAATCCTCCCACAAGCCCCGTTGCAAGAAAACAAAGCAGGGAAGGTGGGAAATTTGAGGCCATGTGGACCTATGGAAGTTTGTGCATAAAATCCCAAATCCAAGTCAGTGTTTTCTAATCGTGGCATCCAAGCCAAGAGTTCAATCCATCAATCAGAATGGAACTTGAAGGTTTTCTAGTCCAACCACCTGCTCGAGCAGCAAAACCTATACCATTTTAGACAAGTGGCTGTCCAGTCTCTTCTTAAAAACATCCAGTGATGAAGCATCCACAACTTCTGAACACAAGCGGTTCCACTGGTTGATTGTCCTCGCTATTATGAAGTTTCTCTTTAGTTCCACGGTGCTTCTATGCACTTTTTCCAAACTGTCCTATGACTGACTCACACCTCTACAAACGCACGGCTACCTTGTTGCAAGACAAAATATCTCTGTCATAAAATTCTGGGATGCATCTGCTCCTCTTAATGGACATCTTAATCAAAGCCCTAAATTCTTTATACCCTTTTGGGTTAATTTTATCACTGTTGATTCATCACTCAACTGTGGTAGCTAAAAAGTATGTGCTTCGCTCATTTCCCCATTCACATGTAATAAAGGTAAAGGTTCCCCTCGCACATATGTGCTAGTCGTTTCCGGCTCTAGGGGGCGGTGCTCATCTTTGTTACAAAGCTGAAGGGGCAGCGCTGTCCGAAGGCATCTCCGTGATCATGTGACCGGCATGACTGAACACCAAAGGCGCATGGAGCGCTGTTACCTTCCCGCCAAAGTGGTCCCTATTTTTCTACTTGCATTTTTTTACATGCTTTCGAACTGCCAGGTTGGCAGAAGCCGGGACCAGTAACGGGAGCTCACTCCATTACACAGTGCTAGGGATTCGAACTGCCGAACTGCTGACCTTTCCAATCAACGAGCTCAGAGTCTTATCCAATGAGCCACTGCGTCCCCTGTAATACACACTATTATTTCCAGGAAGCACAGAAACATTTTTTTTTTCTGTTTACATTATTATTTTCCAGGTTTCCCGTTTTTCTCTCCTCCTCCACCTCATTTTTTTAGGATAAGGGTAACTCATTCTTGTTACACAGGGAGTCCTCAACTTACGACCACAATTGAGCCCGAAATTGATGTTGCTAAATGAGAAATTGGTTAAGTGAATTTTGCTCCATTTTACGACCTCACTTGCCGTAATTGTTAAGTGAATCACATCAGTTATAAAGTTAGTGACCCGGTTGTTAAGTGAATCTGGCTTCCCCACACATTGACTTTGCTTGTAATACAGTCAGTCACAAAAGGGGATCACAAGATCTTGGGACAATACAACCGTCATAAATATGAAACTGTTGCCAAGCATCCAAATTTGGATCACATGGGGATGCTGCAATGGTCGTTAAGTGTGAAAAACGGTCAAAAGTGCCTTTGTAACTTCGAATGGTCACTAAATGAACTGTTGTAAGTCGAGGACTACCTGTATTCTGCCCTTAGTACTATTATATGTATTTATACTTTTCTTTTGCTAATTAGGTTAACGTAACCTTTTTAAAATTAAAATGAGGAAGCCAGAATGGGTCTTCCTGAGACAATAACCCTCTGAGCGCATGGACATTTTTGTCACTTTCAATTGACATGGTTTTCTCACCTCCAACTCCCTACAAATTGGCGAAAAGATGAAAAACATTTTGAGGGAGATACCCCTGGGGACAGAGTGACTGTACCCAGCAATTTCTGGAAAGAGATAATAGTTTAACGCCGCATGAATATTTCCTTTGAAGTGAGTCCTTTAAATGACTTCTAAGTAAATAAGTATAATACCGGGTGTATTAGGTCTGCAACGTTGGATTGGAATGTACAACTGTTTTCACTGTGTTTATTTATTTATATGTAACCCACGTTTATTATTTTTACAAATAACACAAGGTGGCAAACCTATCCAATGCTCCTTTGACTTATTTTCCCCAGAGCAACAACTCTGTGAGGTAAGCTGGACTGAGAGAAAGTCACTCAAGCTGGCTTTCATGGCTAAGGCGGGACTAGAACTCACAGCCTCCTGGTGATTGACTCAAAGTCACATAGCTGGCTTTCATGGCTAAGGTGGGACTAGAACTCTCAGTCTCCTGGTGATTGGCCCAAAGTCACTCAGCTGGCTTTCATGGCTCAGGTGGGACTAGAATTCACTGTCTCCTGGTGACTGGCCCAAAGTCACTCAGCTGGCTTTCCTGCCTAAGGTGGGACAAGAATTCACGGTTCTAGTCTGGTGCTTAACCACTAGACCAAATTGGTCCCAAACCATGTAAGATTTTAGATTTATAACCAGTACCTTGAAACACAAGAAGAAACATCAGCCTACGTAGCCCTTATTATACAAGGATAACATGGCAGTAATGTTTCTGCCCATTGACATACTGTATGAGCAACCACAATTAACTTATTTACTTTTATTTTTATACACAACACAAGGTAGTAAATGCATCCAATACTCTTCCTTCTTTCTCCTACTTTCCCCACAACAACTCTGTGAGGTGAGTTGGGCTGAGAGAGAGTGACCAGCTCAAAGTCACTCAGTTGGCTTTCATGTCTAAGGCAGGACTAGAACTCTCTGTCTCCTGGTTATTGGCCCAAGGTCATTCAGCTGGCTTTCATGCCTAAAGCGGGACTAGAACTCAGGGTCTTCGGGTGATTGGCCCAAAGTCACCTAAATGGTTTTCAAGTCTAGAATTCTAGTTTTCTGGTTTGGTGCCTCAACCGCTAAGCCAAACTGGTTCTATTAGCTCCAACATGACCAACAGTCAAGGATTATGGCCATTATCCTCTCAATGTTGTTGGGCACCAATTAAGCATTCCCGGCACAACTTCAGAGGTCTTACCTTTAGATCAATCTTGATGCGGAAGAGTATGTTCTGAAAGTGGTACCCATCGCTGACTTGCAGAACCGCCCTGTCTTCCATCCTGTTAGACCCATCATGAATATAACGCACGAATCCTCCTGAAAGTTCACCAAGGCTGAACACATGCAGGGTCAAAGGGCCATTTCCTGAAAGCTTGACCAATTGTCCATGTTTTGGAGGATCTAAAATGGTCACCGTCACGTCTTGAGGATTATCTCTATCCTGCACATCAAGCAGGTGGTTGGTAATGGTTCCAGTATCTCCTTTGCTAATGGAGAGGACTTCATTCTTGAGGACATAAGGAGGCTGAAATAGAATAACAACCACAACAACAACAAAATCAACTCCTGAGTTGCTGGTACAAGTTGTCCTCAACTTACAACTGGTCACTTATTGACTGCTTTCACTTACAATGGGGCCCCCCCCCCCCCCCCCCCCCCAAAAAAATATTTAAGCTGTATTCAAAGTTCCACTGGCACCGCCCTCCTTCATGGTGTAGATGATTGCATTTGGGGCACTTGGCAAACAGATGGCATGTATTGTGATTTGCAATCAAGTGACTGTGATTTTTTGTTACAAACCAGTTTCCAGTGAAAAATGGAAAAAAACTTGCAGCGTCCACTTAACAACTGTGGCTTTAGTTTAATGACCACCACTTTTGCTTAATGAGTGCCACGTTAACTTAAGAACCACCACAAAAAATGTTGTAAACTTAGGTGGATCACGTGGCTGACTCAACTTACAACCATTATGATATACAATGGAAATTCTGGGATCTATTATGGTCGTAAATCAAGGAACGCCTGTAGTACAATGTATCTTCTCTGCTTTAGAATACAGAGTTTTAATTTTTTTTAAACAAATTTTATTAATTTTCAAAGACAATACACAAACAAACAAAACATAAAACATAAAAACATAAAACATCTTTCCTGAAAGCTGCTTGATCCCGGGTTACATCTCTTCATACAGACACACATTTAAATTCATGTTCATTTTATATACCATTCCATAACTTATTACCATTTTACGTTTTCTATGTAGCTTCTCCCCTCTTTTGAACTTTCTTAGTTTTATTTTATTTATCTCATCTCAGTTCAGATCATTATGCTTATTATTCTTTGTCTGTTCTGTTTCCAGCTATCTATTTATCTTTTCTCTTTAAACAAAATTTCTCCTGTACACTAATTGAAGTATGACGGCTTTATCTCTTTCCCCTAGATTTATAACACTTAGTATAGTACATAGCTTCCATTGGGATTCTGTTTAGTACATTCTAAAGTTACACATTGTATTTTAAAGAAAGAAAAAATTGTAAATATGTAATATAATTAAAACAACAATCCATACCAATTCAAATCTATCATTAATATTAATATTCATTTGAATCTTAAACATTTTACACATTACTTTTCGATTGAATATCATACTTTTATGGGAACACTTATAAGCTTTCCATAGTTATTTCCCCCCCACTTCACATTACTTGTATTTTAAATCATTGTATCATTAAAATGTTCCCATTTCTTCCTACTTCAATTCTCTCATTTATTTCACTGACTTCCTTTTATTCACAAAAATTTCACTAAATTACACTGAATATTTTATCCCATTTTTTGATCACATGTTGTTTCCAATTTTCTAACATTATTTCTAAGTACAAATATAACAATACAATCTTATGTACCTTTGCAGAATCCCTTTTTGAATTAAATTTTTACCCATTATCTCTAAATGAATCTTGTTTCTTTACATCTTGCTCCACACCACTGAAGCTTATCATCCCTTCCTTCCTCCCTTGCTTCTTCTTCTCCCTGCCCTTTTTACCCCCTTGTCTCTCCACCTTCCTTTTCCTCTTAAGTTTTAAAAAAAAATTAAGTTGCTCTAGCAATGACTGTGGTGACGCAGTGGTTAGAGTGCAGTACTGCAGGCTAATTCTGCTGACTGCCGGCTGCCTGCAATTTGGCTTTTAAAATCTCACCAGGCTTAAGGTTGACTCAGCCTTCCCTCCTTCCGAGGTGGATAAAATGAGGAGTCAGATTGTTGGGGGCAAAAGGCTGACTCCGTAAACCACTTAGAGAGGGCTGTAAAACACTGTGAAGCGGTATATAAGTCTACGTGCTATTGCTATTGCTACTTGGGCACAATGATACAAATTTTCTTGAGAGCAGTACAGAAGTTATTTGTTTTCGGGAATGTTTTTCAATTCTGCACATTCGCCTAAATGATACATCAAATCCCAGTTGTGCAGATATGACTTCCTCAGCTTCGCAAACTAGAACACCCATTTGTGCGCCTGTGGTTGGCACACATTCTTACAAACACACATGCGTTTTCCGAGAGTGGGACTCTTTCAAATTATAAACCAGGTCTACTGAGAAGACAAGAAGCAATGGGTGGAAACTAACCAAGGAGAGAACCAACTTAGAACTATGGAGAAATTTCCTGACAGTGAGAAGAATTAATCAGTGGAACAACTTGCCTCCAGAAGTTGTGGGTGGAACACTGGAAGTTTTTAAAAAGAGATTGGACAACGATTTTCTGAAATAATATAGGGTCTCCTGCTTGAGTAGTGTGTTTGACTAAAAGGTCTACCCGCACCCGATTCTCCACGAAGTATGGTAGTCAGATTTACATCAGTGGGTGGTGATCTCTTTCAGTTTCTCTCCTCCCGACCCAAGAAAAATTCACAATAATCTGGAATGAACCCTTCAAATGATATGTCACTAGCAACGTTTTAAGAGGTTCCAGCATTCCAGTTTGAGAATTTTGAGGTTTTTTTTTTTCTGGCTTCTGCTAAACCTGATTTTTTTTAAAAAAAAAAAAACTTAAATAAGGCTCGAGGAACTAAATGTGTTTAAATCTAAGAGCTAGCAAATGACCTCATTCGGTGAAATGAACAAGTGTTTCTCCCCACAGGTTTTTCAAAAAGAATGAGTCAGCTTCTTCAGATAGACACTCAGGTCTCACTGTACAAATATGAATCTTCCTTCAAGCTCTCCAGAGTTTTAAATACAACATGTGGTCAAGTTAGCATTTGGGAGATAAAAATGCCCCAATGAGGCATCTAAACCCAAGAAGATGAATTCATCCAGGTTAAACTAGGGAAGTTGTCTAGATCAGGGGTCTCCAACCTTGGCAACTTTAAGACTTGTGGACTTCAATTCTCAGAATTCCTCAGTCAGCTTTGCTGGCTGAGGAATTCTGGGAGTTGAAGTCCACAGGTCTTAAAGTTGCCTAGGTTGGAGACCCCTGGTCTAAATGGATTGGTTTGTCTACTCTGTGGAGATTTTCAATCATCCAGGTTATGGTTGTCCCAAAGGTGCTTTTTTCAAGAGGCAATTGACTTTCTGGTTTTTCTTTGAAGACATTTCACTTCTTCATCCAAAAAGCTTCTTCAGATCTGACTGGATGGTGGGGAACGGAAGGACTTATATTCAAGGGACTCTGAGGACACAGACAAACCTCCAAGTGGCCTCAACAATTCTCTAAAAGAACGCAAAAAAAAACAAAAAACCTTTAGGGTGAACACCCTTCGAATGGTGCGGGAGTATGAATGGATTTCTAGAAAAATTGCAGACTACAGGAACCATGAGTGTTTCAGTTTGAGATGCGGACAACATAGATTCGTCACCAGCAGCAGAAAACATCCTGCAGAAAGCACAGCTCCACAACAGTCCTATCAACAGTTCCAAGAAGGCTCCACACCCATTTGCACCACTCAGGTGACCCTGAGAACACGGATAAACCTCCAAATGGCCTCAATGACTCTCCAAAAGGATGCAAATGACCAACTGTCTGCAAGGAGTATAAATCCTTCCATCCCCCAGCATCCAGTCAGAGCTGAAGAAGCTTCTTGGATGAAAAGCGAAACGCCTTTAAAGAAAACACAGAAAGCATTCTTGAAAAAGCATTTTTGGGATGGACTGGTTTAGCTCACAAAAACTGGCTGTTATTTTTGTTTTTAAGATGGGCCTAGAGAACCTCCCTGCCTGGCCTTTAGTGGGGCATGGCAAGTTTAGAAAGCAGAGGCATTGGGCACTGCCAATCCAGAAGCTTCAGGGACTAAGGTGAGGGTGTTATCTCCTCCACCAGAACAAAGCAAGAGAAGGTGTGATGTTTCCCCAAATATAGTGTGTGGACAACCATTTGTCTGGAATGGTATAGGGCAGTGATGGCTAACCTTTTTGGGCTCCTGTGCCCACAATTGTGGGCACGCTTCTGCGCTTGCGCTTGTGTGCCAGCACCCAGAAGGCAATGCATGCACCTCCCCAATCACCCCCTGCCCCCTTACCTGCACTGCGCCTCCCAGCTGATTTTTCGGCCCGCTTGAGGCCTTTTTTAGCCTCCCAGAGGCTTGAGGAAAGCTTCTGCAGGCTTTGCAGGCCGAAAAATGGGCCTGTTTCGTCACTTCCGGAAATACAGGAAGTGACAAAATGGGCCTATTTTTCAGCCTGCAAAGGCTTTCCTCAAGCCTCTGGGAGGCCGAAAAGGGCCTCAAAAAGGCCAAAAATCAGCTGTGAGGTGCGCGCATGTGCAGTGAGGTAAGTTTGCCTGCGGCTCGCGTGCTGGCACAAATGGCTCTGCATGCCACCTGTGGCATGCGTGCCATAGGTTCGCCATCACGGGTATAGGGTCTCCTGCTTGAGCAGGGGGTTGGACTAGAAGACCTCTAAGGTCCCTTCCAACTCTGTTATTCTTGTCCTTACTAAATAATAACACCCACTTGATTTGGTTTTGATTTACTACGTATAGTGAACTTTACACTGCCCTTTGTAAGCTGTGGCTTATGGCTTAGTAAGATGTCCCAATCCTGTCATTCGTAGTTTCTAAAAAAGAGAACAGCAGCTCAGGCCCTCATGACCTAATCAGAGTTGCGGTGCAGTGTGTTCTGGAGGGGCTGACCTTGAAGAGGATCCAGAAAGTGTCATTGGTGCAAAATACAGATTGGCATATGACATTACCAACCACAAATTACACCTGTGCCCAGAGCTTCACAGTGATGGCTACATTAGATTGCAGCTAATTCCAGAAGGGATTTGACGTCCTGGTTTTGACTGTAAAGCTCTATGTGACTTGATGCCCATATACAGGTAATCATCAACTAACAGACACATATGTAAGTCTGCAAAACTATGGATTTTTTAAATGCTTTTTTTTTTGTCTTTAAATATATGCCAGTATGGGACATCAATCAAACAAGTAAGAAATCCATATATTTCCATCTCAGCGTTACTGGACTCTCGCACACAAGCAGAGAAATATTGCCAATATACTGTACAGTTCTCCCCACTCTCACCCCGCCCAGCCCGTTCAAAAATATAACCACCCATCCTCTAACTTACCTGGGTTGAAAAAGCTCGGACGGTGAACATTACTGGCTCCGATGTGGACTCTTGATAGCTGAGCGTCAGGAAAAACAAGCCATCCCTAGAGGAAGCCCCGATACGGTATTATATATTGATATAAATGTAATCAATTACTATGTAGATAGGTACACATTTTCATTCATCCAGAAGAGCGGCAGCTGTATATTTTTCAGGGCTTTCAAGCTTGGCCAAATGAACCGGTTCGCTCACAGCTGATCCTCAGAGCTACCGGTTCGCCCGAACCAGTCTGAACCAGCAGAATCCCACCCCTGCACACACGTGATAGACTTGTGCACACTCTGACAGAAGGTATTACACTCTGTGGAGGCATCTTCTCCCATTCCCCTCATATTCTCCTCATACAAAAGAGGTAAAGAACCATCAAATCACCTGGATTTCATTTTGTCGTGGACAAAGAAAACGCGCTGTTCCTTCGCGTCTTCCCAGGTGAAATAGTCCTGTTCTTTTTCTTTCCCTTCAGCCAGGACTACCAGCCTGCCGTTGGTGGGAAGGGCTGCCGTGCGAAAGAGGAGGCCTTCTCCATAGCTCTCTAGGTTTTCTACTTCCAGCAAGGAACCATCTAGTAGTTTCAGCCCACCAATTCCTACCAAGAGGAGGCTCTTGGCCTTGAACCCAGGAGCAGGCCCAGAAGCTGAAACAAAAGAAAGAAAATTCATCAAAATTCACTCTTTTATTAATTGTTCTTGCACAATGCTCCTTTCGTAACATATAAAGACACTGAACTTCGTGCACCAGTGTGCAAAATCCATCAGAAGAAATTGATGGTTAACAGGAATCCTGGAACAAATAGAATAGAATATTAACAGAATAGAATAGTAGAATAGAATAGAATAGAATAGAATAGAATAGAATAGAATAGAATAGAATAGAATAGAATAGAAATAGAATATGAATATGAATATGAATAGAATAGAATAGAATAGAATAGAATAGAATAGAATAGAATAGAATAGAATAGAATAGAATATGAATAGAATATGAATAGAATAGAATACGAATAGAATAGAATACGAATAGAATATGAATAGAATAGAATATGAATAGAATAGAATATAGGATAGGATAGAATAGAATAGAATATAGGATAGGATAGAATAGAATATAGGATAGGATAGAATAGAATATAGGATAGGATAGAATAGAATAGAATAGAATAGAATAGAATGGAATGGAATGGAATGGAATGGAATGGAATAGAATAGAATAGAATAGAATAGAATAGAATAGAATAGAATAGAAATAACAGAGTTGGAAGGGACCTTGGAGGTTTTCTAGTCCAACCCCCTGCTGAGGCAGGAAACCCTATATCATTTCAGACAAATGACTGTCCAATCACTTCTTTAAAACCTGCAGTGTTGGAGAATTCACAACTTCTGGGTGCAAATTGTTCCATTGATTAAATGTTCTGTCAGGAAATTTCTTCTTGGTTGCTTCTCTCCTTATTTTTTTAAACTTTTAACCCTTACTTTTTTGTAATTTTGTATTATAAATACTCCTTGACTTACAACCATTCATTTAGCAAGTGTTTGTAGTTACAACGGAAACTGGCTTTCCCCTTGACTTTGTTTATCAGAAGGTCACAAAAGGTGATCCCATGATCCTGGGATACTGCAATCGTCATAAATATGAGACAACTGCCATGGAGATGCTGCAAGGGTCATAAATATGAAAAACAGACACGTTTTCCAGTGCCGTTATAACTTTGAATGGTCACTAAATGAACTGTTGTAAGTCGAGGACTACCTGTAGGTGAAAAAGAGGATATCCAGAATCTCAAGAAGAAATTACTAGCAATTTAAAAATAGCCAGGATGCTTCAGGGAGAAATGAGGAAAAAATAGAGAGAGAGGCATAATAAAACCAATGTTAGTGAAGATCATCCTTTATTAGATCGACATTATACTCTAAAGGTATATTCTGTTTAAAATGCTTTATGGTCTTAAATTCTCAGAGCTGTAGTTTGCAGGGCGGCAGAAAATTTCCTCTAAAATTTGTTCCCAGTGTGACACACGTAGAAAATATAACGCCAAGTTTCTTCGAACTGACAATACCCAATCTAATAAATCATCATGTGGTTGGGGGCACTTCAGCAAATGTTAGTGCGTGCACCCAGTCACCACGGATTACAAATCATGGTTCATCTCTTAGTGTACTGCATGTATTCAAGCTTGAGGATTTATTCCAGGGGTCTCCAAACTTGGCCGTTTTCAGGATCGTGGACTTCAACTCCCAGAATTCCCCCAGCTAGCCATGCTGGCTAGGGAATTCTGGGAGTTGAAGTCCACAAGTCTTAAAGTGACAAAGTTTGGAGAGGGTTGATTCAACAAACCATGGTTGAGACAAACTGTAGTTCAGTATGTCTGTGGAGATTCTCAGTCATCCAGGTCATGATTGTCCTAAAGGTGCTTTTTTTCAGGAGCCAACTGGACTTTCTGTTTTTTTCTTTTGAAGACGTTTCATTTCTCACCCACCACTATGACTATTATTAAGTGTTGTACCTGATGATTCTCGACTCTTGACGAATGTATCTTTTCTTTTATGTACACTGAAAGCATTTGCACCAAGACAAATTCCTTGTGTGTCCAATCACACTTGGCCAATAAAGAATTCTATTCTAATCTATTCTAATCTATTCTAATCTAATCTAATCTAATCTAACCGAACCGAACCTAATCTAATAAGTTTCTTCAGCTCTGTAGTTCAGTGTGTAGCATGAACCAGTTTCCAACCTTGTAAAATCATTGTTTTTTATTATTTTAAAACATGAGAAACTAGAGCTGAAGCTGATGATCCTATAATGGGTGGAGGGGAAACTCACATTTGCACTGCCGATTTCGGGGGTCTTTGTAGACGCCACGCCCACAGTCAGCCACACAAAGGCCTTTCTGAAGAAATGTAGTGGAATTACAAACTCGGCACCTGGTGGAATCGTCACACTCCAAGCATCCCTCGGGGCAAGCTAGCATGAAAGGAAAAGCAAGATGCTACGAGAGGCATTTTTAACCGAGAAAACAAGGCCACTCTTATGTAACTCCTTTATTGGTAGTCAAGGGAAGTTAACTCTGAACACCTCATGCCTTTGACATCAGGCTTGCTGATGAAGGCTAATTTAAAAAGCCACCATATTTTACTTGCAAATTTCAATAACGTGAGGTGAACCAACGCTTAGTCACTAGTGCCGTGGTCATCTCATGTCTGGACTAGTGCAATGGGCTCGATATGGGCTCACCTTTGAAGAGATTAGATTAGATTAGATTAGATTAGATTAGATTAGATTAGATTAG